ATATATATATATATATATATGATGGCTGGTACTTTCAGATTATGTAGCACATACCAAATTGTTTTAATGAAGACTACCTGGTATGTAGTCAGGAGCAAAACTGAATTTTAATATGGATCAAAGAAAAATGTAATTAAGAAAATAAATCTGGGCTCCGCGCCTGTGGCTCAAGCTGCTAAGGCGCCAGCCACATACACCTAAGGTGGCGGGTTCGTATCCCCAGCCCAGGCCCTCCAAACAACAATGATGGCTGCAACCAAAAAATGGCCAGGCATTGTGGTGGGCGCCTGTAGTCCCAGCTACTTGGGAGGCTGAAGCAGGAGACTCGCTTGAGCCCAGGAGTTGGAGGTTGCTGTGAGCGTGATGCCATGGCACTCTACCCAGGGGGATAGCTTGCGGCTCCGTCTCAAAAAAAAAGAAAATAAATCTGCCAAAATGAAAGAAAAAAAAAATTGCATGGTATATTCCAAGGTTAACTGTAAAGAAGAGCTTATCATCGTTTGCTGTGCCGGCCTGAAGACTGACTGTGCCCCACTGTTATCTTACTGATGCAGCAGAACTATTGTTACCAAAATAAACTTTGCAACTCATTTTTGTTTTAAAGGGCTTTAAAAATTATGATATATTCGAGATATACGTAAGACTATTTTTAACCTCCATAGATGCCTAACAATAAAACAAACATATGTAAATCTGCCACTAGAACTGGAATTGTACTATCAAATATGATAGCAACTAGCCGTATGAAGCCATTTAAATGTAAAAAAAATGAAACAATCAGTTCCTAAGTCACACAAGTCACTTTTCAAGCACTCCATAGCCAAATAAGGCTAGTGGCTACTGTACTGAACAGCATAGACATAGAGTGTTTCCACTGTCACAGAAGGACACTTCTGTGGTTTATCTTACAGGGGTACAAGTGAATCTTTCTAAGAGTAGAGTATGAACGTTTTAACACAATAACTAAGAAAATGATATGAAGGCTATGTTAACCAGTTTGATGGAAGTGTCTCGGATTGTGTGTGAAAACACCACACTGTACCCCAGAAGTGCATTAATGTACACAGTTACCATTCAATAAAAAATAAAATAAGGACAGTAATGACCTAGAGCATCACCTATATCACTGCCTTGTGAATGCCTTCCTTCTTTGACCTCCTACGCAGACAAAACCATTCTGATTAACTCTGTATTTACTTTTCTTCCTAAAAAACGTCATCATTTACTGATGTATTCTTAAACAATACCTTACAATTTTGTTTGTTTTTAGACTTTATAAAGAGACATGCATTGGCTCGGCGCCTGTGGCTCAAGAGGCTAAGGTGCCAGCCACATACACCTGAGCTGGCGGGTTAGAATCCAGCCCAGACCCGCCAAACAACAATGATGGCTGCAACCAAAAAATAGCCAGGCATTGTGGTGGATGCGTGTAGTCCCAGCTATTTGGGAGGCTGAGGCAAGAGAATTGCTTAAGCCCTGGAGTTGGAGATTGTTGTGAGTTATGACGCCACAGCACTCTACCCAGGGTGACAGCTTGAGGCTCTGTCTCAAAAAAAAAAAAAAAAAAAAGAAGACACGCAGTCTGCTGCAACTTGCTTTTTACATTTCACATTGTGGAAATATTTGGAGATGCTGTCCATTTTCACTTCTGTTTAACAGTCCAGTGGATGGTTACAACACATTCCATCAACAAATATTTATTGGGCATTTATCAGGTACTGTTCTAGGCACTGTGGATAAAATTAATGAATAAAAATGACAAAAATCCATGCCCTTACTCTACTTTACATTTTCTAGGCCAAAGGACGTTTGCTTTTAATTTTATGCTTTTCCTTTAAATACTTTTCCAGCAAAACAAAGTTGTAATAGAATACCTGCACTCAGCAAAAAGATACTTAGTTATCTGTGATATGCACAAATAAAGGTATTGAGCAATAGATTTTTTAAGGAAAGCAATAAAACGTATAAGTGTATATATATAAACTGAAGTTCAATAAGTCTAGACCATATTTTCAACTATTTCACTTTGGGGAATTAGTATACTTACTTTTTAGAAACGGTTTCTCACTAATGTTACCCAGGTTGGTATGTAGTGGTTACTCACAGGCACCATCACAGTGCACTATAGCCTTCAACTCCTGACTTTAAACAGCCCCCTGAATAGATGAGACTATAGGCGCACACGACCATGCCCAGACTTTTTTTTTTTTTGCAGTTTTTGGCCAGGGCTGGGCTTGAACCCGCCATCTCTGGTATATGGGGCTGGCACCCTACTCCTTTGAGCTATAGGTGCCGCCTCCATGCCCTGCTCTAATTTGCTTTCACTTTAGATGTTTATGTGTTTTGATTCCACAAAATATTAGAATCCAAGTTCTGAGACATCAAAGACTACAACAGTAACTCCAACAGGCAGAAAATCAAAAAAGGAACACAGATTCACTCTCCGGGCATGGTCCCACAAAACAGAGCACCATGAAGAAAGCAGTCAAAGGAAAATCTTCAGAGAGTTTTGGGATGACGTTCCTAATCGCATGGAAAGTTTGACAACTTTATTTCTGAGGGCCTATTTTAAAGGACTACTTCTATAAGCAGAAGTACCCCTGGGAATATCATGGAAGGGCAGAGAGGACTCATAGTCCCTAGGATAGCAAGGAAAAAATAATATACATGTTGGTGTTGGGCAAGCCACTTAATCACTTCTATACGTGTTGGAGGCAAAGAAGATACACTCTCCCTCTGAACACAATCTAAAAGTCGTAACTTTTGTGAAACCCACCAAGGTAAGATCCTCCCTCTTAATCACTGTATACCTCATTTCTCAGAGAAATTTCCTATTTTCCTTTGAGTTTTGTAGACTGCATGGGATCTAATCCAAAGATCCACACTTTAGAAAACCACTGGTACCCAACACATTGCTACTCACCAGTTCCAATGGATAAGCCACTGCTATTGGAACGGATGGTCTTAGAATTCAGTACTTTTTCTGAAAAAAAAAAAAAAATTTGATAGATGAGTACCGTATTCAGATGTAGGCCGAAAAAGTGAGAGAAGACTGAAATGGGGAGATATTTGCTACTCCTGACTCCAGATAACTTTATCATTACTGTTTTAGATATTAATACCACAAGCGAAGCACCATCTGCTAGTCTAACTTCATTGTCTAAAGAGGCAATTCTTTTTTTTGGCCAGGGCCAGGTTTGAACCAGCCACCTCCGGTATATGGGGCCAGTCTCTTACTCCTTTGAGCCACAGGCATCACCCTATAGTGGCAATTCTTTACTTTAACTGTTCATTGAATCACCTGAGAAGCTTTTGACAAATAACAATACTCAGGTCCCCACCTCAGAGATTTTGGTTTAATTGGTCAGTAGCAGGGTCTGACAATGGAAATTTTAAAAGCTCCCCCAGGGGATTCAAATATATAGCCAAGGGTTTTTTTTTTTTTTTTT